GAATCAAAAATCAAATGCGGGATTTGTGGCCGTTCCAATCACTTTCAAAAAGACTGCAGATACAAGGACCTTCGAGTGTAACAATTGTGGTGAAAAAGGTCATTTGTCCACCGTATGTAAAAAGGGTAAGAAAGAAAAGAAWAATATCAAAACACAAAATAAATTTTTGTATGATAATAATGATGATGACGTAACAGTTAATTATGATCTTTCGAATACTTTTTTTTCCATAATTGATCAAAATTCTCAAACTAAAGCGGTGAAACCGTTTACAGTAAATTTAATTGTAGAAAACAATAATGTAAGCTTCGAAATTGATACCGGTTCACAACATAGCGTAATTTCAAAAAGATAATATCATCAACTGTTTAATCATATCAAATTAAAAAAAAATGACATTTCGGTATCTGATTACATCGGCAACGACATTAAACCGATAGTAAAAATATTTGTCGATTCGGTGTACCAAAATAAAAAATTTACAATGTGCCTTTATGTTATCGACAATGRTKGTCCTCCATTAATAGGTCGAAATGATATAAAAAATATAAAATGTTTTACCTTGTTTAGTATTGAAAATGACGTAAGTGTCGATAGTATTATAAAAAAATATAACAATGTTTTTAAAGATAAAATAGGCACTTTTAACAAATACGAAATTTCATTAAATATCAAAGCGGGAGAAGTACCTACATTTTACAAACATAGGTATATTCCTTTAGCATTAAAGGGAAAAGTTGAAACCGAAATTGAGCGTTTAATCAAAAGCAACATTTTAGTTCCCGTCGACCACAGCGAATGGACAACTCCAATAGTACCAATATTAAAAACAGACGGCATGGTTAGAATTTGCGGTGATTTTAAAATAACAATAAATCCGGTATTAAAAGGGACTGAATACCCTCTTCCAAAAATAGAACATCTATATGCAAATATTAGTGGTTCAAAATATTTTTCGAAAATAGAKTTAAAAGACGCATACCAACAAATGATTATTAAAGAATCTGATCGCAAATATACCACTATTAACACACATAMAGGTTTATTTAGCTATACACGTAACCCTTTTGGAATAAAGTCGTCAGCAKGGGAGTTTCAAAAAGCTATGGAAACTTCCACAGCAGGTCTTGAGGGCATAGGTTTATTCCAAGACGACATTATTGTTGCAGGTTCCACTATCACAGAGCACAATGCTCGTTTAGACAAATTACTAAATATATTGTCAAATGCAGGTTTAAGAGTAAAGTTGAATAAATGCAAATTTATGTAAAAGTCAATTGAATATTTGGGTCACAGGTTAGATGAAAATGGTTTACACACACTAAYAAAACACACAGATGTTATAAACGATGCCATTGTCCCAGAAAATAAAACATTGCTAAAATCATTTTTAGGTTTAGTTACGTATTATATAAAATTTATTCCTAACGCTGCAAATATTATAAAACCATTGTACACTCTTTTACGTAACGGCAGTGAATGGAATTGGACACCAAAATGTGACCAAGCATTCAATAAAGTCAAAAAAATTTTAATTTCGAAACCCGTATTGGCACATTATGATCATAATATTCCGATTAAACTCGTTGTAGACTCATCATCTTATGCACTAGGCGCAGTTCTTTCC